TCAGTCTCAGGCAGTGTTTTCTCTTTAAAGCTCTTCCTTTCTCACGACAGAGGTTCCTACAGACAGCCCAAACAGTCGTATTTATCACTTATCCTCTTAATTAAAAAAAAAAAAAAAATTCCTGGGACAAGAGGGCATGAATCATTGCTTCCTATCTGCCACCTCCAACACCCCTATCATATGTTAAAAATGCCTCATGCAAACCACAATTTTACATACTTCGCTGCAAACAATTCAGTTGTGGTTCCTTCTGCTGCATCCTTCTCATTTAACTAATACATACATTGCTTGCAGAGGAGTGGTATCATTTTAGTTATGAGGACAGAACTGATGCTTCCTTAGTTTGTTTTGCTACATTAAAACATCTCAATGATGGAACAGAACATGTTTACCAGTGTGGTAAGTTGCCATTCATTGTGCAGCTAACATCTGTGCACTTACTGTACTGAGATCTTCTCATCAGCATCTGCTATGAACATGCTGCCCACCTACGGAAAGAAAGAGTATTGCACAGGGAAAATTTATGAACACTATTAGGCCACCAAGGAGAAGGCATGGATATAACTAAGTTTGAAGTGCTCTGGGAGAAGAGTTCTCATCCAAGGCATACACGCAACTTTCTTTCTAAGACTAGTAAAATACAGATGGGAAAATTCTACAGAGCAGGATGACCATCTATAAACACATTTTATTTCACACTACTGTCACTGATCAATACGCCATCTGTCAAATCATAGACAACAGGACTGAAACCTGATTCCCAATCTGGATTAGTCTATGATTTTACAAGTACCAGTAGAGATCATTTCCCATCTGCTTGTCTCCAGGCAATAACACTTTTATCCATGTCACTCCTGACTGATAGCTATCAGCACTGACCTACCCTTACTTACAGGAAGTTTCCCTAGCGTCAATTAAATCTCAGACTGCAATTTAAATGCAATACAGCAGAGCCAGTCCCCATACAATGGGGACACTGGCTCCTCTTTACACCGAGATGAGATAAATTCCCAATTGCCTTATGGGATTCACTAAGGATCCTCTCTGAAAAAGTAGATATCGCCTGTTGCGGAACCTAAGCATACTTCACCGCTACGCTGCGCTCAAGCCTGAGCGGTAAGACAATATAGAAACAGATCTCTAAAGCTAGCCACAGACCGGGCTTCGAATATTTCCGGGCACCTTGTGCAGCAGCAGCTTCTCCGTTTTAGCCTGCATCAGCAGACGAGCAACAGGTTTTTAAAAATAAATAGCTGTTTAAAGCATCTAACAGTTTTTTTTTTTTTTAAATAAAGTCAACCTCAAAGAAGATGGAGGAAAACAGAATTTGATTATCAACCCAGAAGAGAGACTATATCCTTTTGAAAGGGCTTTCCCAGACAGACAGCAATATGCTCCTCAGAATACAGCTATTTCATTTGTGCTTGGCGTGGATCAATGCGTGTTCTCCTCCAGAGCAACACCCTGACCCCACAGAGCTTTTGGAAACCCTCACTCCCCGATGAACATCCATGAGGCCCCTACTTTAAGAACAGAAAAATACTCCTTCCTTACTCACCATATTGGTTAGGGCTGAGAAGAAACCACTCTGGTGCTCTTCTTCCTTATCTTTGTACTGCCTGAACAAAAGGGAAAAAACAAAACGAGGATGAAGCTCCAGGTTTGAAATAGAACTAGGATTATTTTATCTAAGTCCCCATAAGAAAGCCTTCCCTGATTAGGATAGAGGCTAGGAAGAGCTCCAACACTCACATTCCCCTTTCAAGACCTTGCAAAGAGAGATGCAAAGGAAGTTAAATATCTGTAAATTTTGTAGAGTTGAAGCAAGGATGCTGGAAGACGCAACGCTGAACAACATCTCAGTTAATCCTCTCTCCTTTAATGTTAAGTGACTTAGGAATTTTTTGTGCTGCAGTAGCAGCAAAGTAATTGACTTCATGAACACACAGTCCACACCAGTAACAAAAACATATGGTAACAGAACAGTTACAGAACAGTTACCACTTTCTGCTTCACTTCAGTCATCATCAGCTACAGACTAAGCCACAGTTGTCCATCCTATGACCAGCAGGCCACCAGAACCCAATAACACCATTACACTGCTTCACAGCCTGATTCCTGCCTGATCCTGAGCTCTTCTACCTAGAGGAAGGCAGGCTGGAAGTCGGCTCTATGAACTCCTCTGCTGACAGGAGTCCATTCCTGCCTGCCTTTCAGGACAAATCTGGAATGCACAAGGGTGTTTTCAAGCAGGCTTAGTAAGCATGACAACATGAGCAAGCATCACACCTATGAGGCATGCAGATCTGGCCCAGAAACATGACAGTACTGTCTATGCCATGGGGCTCTTGACTGCGACTGGAATAAGTGAAGTCAAAAAAGGTTAGGTACCTCAGATTTAAGCCAGTTTGCTTTATTTGGCATTGAAATGGACTAGCAAAGTTCACATAATCATTTATTCTATCTTTGGTATGGAAATAAAACTGACTTGTGTAATCTAGCAGAAGTTGAGCTTTCCATTAAGAAAAGGGCTGTTTCTTGCCCAACACACCACAGAAGAAATGCCTAGTCAAGTGATTGTTTGCCAGTAACTAACTCAGAACTGTCAAAGGTATATGAGGAACCGCCCAGAAAAGCGATAAGCCTCCCCCAGGGATTTAACATTCTGATTAGACATAATGCAACACACAAGATAAATCTTCCCCAAAATTTTTGAATTGTTAAAAACACAAAAAAAAACCACACACAAGTCAGGCAAAACAGGCCACAGCCTGAGACAACTTTTGTCAGAAATGAAGGAAGTTGGGTAGGTGGAGATTTTCTTTTTTGAGTCTAATATGTTAAAATATTTATGTGATTTGCAGCCTCGCATCATCTTGCGAGCACTACAATAGTAGCAGACATTCAAAGGAATTAAAAAGTTTTTCTGGATACTTTGAAAATCCTCCTGCCTGAAAAAACACTGTTGGGTTACCCAAGTAAAACCATTTAATAAATAACTGTACAAAAGATACAAGGTTTCCTGAGAAGAAAGCACTTTAGAAAAGTTTAGAAACACCTTATCAAGGGCTGGAAGCACGTTATTCCTACTGCTGGCTTTCTTCAGAAGCAGTTGCTGCTGTTTACTATTTGCAAAAGCATACATCCCCAAATCACCCCTAACCTGATTCAGCCTAACATTTGGCTAGTTCTGGATACATTTGTTTTAGGTTCAGGTAAAGCAACTTTCCATCAGAGAAGTACTCAGCAAATCATTTATCATCTTTTCACTTGGGACCATGAGATTTTACACAAGGTTCACAGAGGTAGAATCAATGATGGTAAAAACATACAATGGAAATCTATAGCAAGATCTCTTCTGAACCACATCAGGGCAGCTGGTACAGATGCATTCACACTGGCAATGACAGCAACAACAGAGCTGAAGCACCTCAAGACAAGAGACTATTCCCTTCCTTTCCAGGCACACCAGGGCTGTTAAGTGATAAGCAAGTGTTTTAATTAAGAAACAAAACAGAAGTTTATTGAAAGGGAAAACAACTACCACGCAGCTAAAAAATGAAGGATGGTTAGGCCTTACCTGTTGTACTCTGATAAAGCCTGGGCAATAACAAGTCCCATTCCCTAAAAAAAAAAATGTTTAAAAAAAATTCTTTATTTTACAAATATCAATGCAGGAAAACAAATATTGAACACAGTAGTGCTTTAGCACCCAAGATATCCTGCCATGCTACAGAGAATTTCCTCTGCAACAGTTTAAGCTATTAAGACACACTATACAACACAAACAACAACACCCAAAATCAAGGCACCAAAAATTAAAGCTGGATATCTAACTACAAAGTTATTGGGGAGAAAGATTACTCTCCTGGGGCCTCCAGACAAAGCTTACTCACTCAAGAAGCCTCAGCAAGGTAGCAAGACTCTTAGAAGAAAGCGGGTGTCAGAGGAAAGATATCTAAACGTTCACAATAAAGGCCATAAACACTACTGATCTCCATTTCTTGCAGACTGCCTTCACCAATCCACAGCTACTGATCATCCTTCACTCTCAAGCCAATTTAATTAATTCAGAATGATTGCTCTCACCCTTTAGTTGGCATGGAGTTTATTGCTTTTAAGCCACACACATAGAAGAACTTGCAAGTCTGGACCTCCCATAGCTTTAGGTGTGCTGCCACTCCCATCCAGGCTTGAATATAGAACCCAGGGAGCGCCTACAACCCAAGGTATGTTGCAGGACTCTTGATTTGGGTACATGCTTCCACCAAGCTACAAGAATTGCCTTATGGACTGGTAATGCCAGATGACAGCACTAGATAGAAGATACCTCCTTTGGCAAAAGCTATCTTGCGTCTCTTTGCAAAGCAACAGCAAGTAATGTATAGATAGTTTATTAATGTATAATAGGCCAACTTTAGCATGTTCCTTGCTACCCAGCCTTTCCACCACCCCCAGTGTTTAACTGGTGATTAGTCTGTCCAAACCATGAGGTACTTCATTCACCTCAAGAGTTCAGCTAGGGAAGAAATCCACTATTCTGATAGCCTTTGCTGTAGCACTGTTCCCAAATCATCTTCACATCAGATGCCAAGATGGCACACACTCATGGAAGAGCATCCCCGGAGCAGAGAGGAATAAGTGAAATACTCACATTGAGTGTGGGCTCATCATCTACGATGGAGAGCTTCACAATGTAGGGATTCACTGACTGCTCGAGACGGGAGAAGAAGAAAGAAAACTCGTTTTAAGTTCAGCCTTAAAAAACAAACACACACACACACACACTCATCTTTCAAAGTTTAAGCACGAAGGCGACTATGCCTGGGCCACCTTCTCTATACTTGCTCAGCTAGCCAGGCTCCTAATTTTAAACTGAGGATAGAGGGAGTTTCAGCTCCTTTGCTAGCTTGAGTGCCAGTCTTGGAAGTGGAGCTGCCATCCTCCAAGCCTGTTCTCTGCAGACACAAGCAGTACAGCTGGGACTGAACATTAGTGTTCCGATGTACCTCTTCTGTAACACCTTGCAAAGATTGCTTAAAAGAAGGACCCAAGAAAGCATGACAGTGTTACAGACTCCTCTGCTGCAGAGTTAGAGCTCTTTAGTTCTCAGTGGTGTAAACTGTTAAGTGTAGTCTTTGGAGAACACAAATTTTTTGAACTCTCAGCTTAACAGAACACACAGAGTCCCACCTATAAAGACAAGCCCTATCAATTTATATTGCTAATCTAAAATACTCTCTACGTTTGTTTTTCATTGTTCACATGCATCAGCACAAAAATAAAAGTGGATTTGGAACCAGGACAGAGAAGAAAAGGCTCTATTTGTGCAGCAGATCCAAAGAGCATCGGAAGAATAAAGCACTCAAAGCATGCATCAGATAACAGGGTAACTTGTAAAGCGAGGCTGTATCTGTCTTACTCAAGGCCTGATAGCAAGTTAAAAATAACACTGATCAGAAATCAACACCCTCCCAATTATTTGGTGCTTCAGGAGAATCAAGTTTTGTCTTTGGTTCAGAGATCAATCAGAACAGACCAAAGCTCAGCCAGTCTGTCAGCCTGCCTCCCGCAGCATGATAGCGCTATCTGCTGTTTCAGAAAGACGGAAAATTCTCACAGAGCCCATCTGTGCATGAAGAGCGCAAAGACATTTCCCTGAGGCTGGAGAAAAGATTTCCACTAGTAACAATATATGCTCCTCTTTGTACAGTCACACTCCTCTTCAGAAATTATATCTAGTTGGTATCAGTAAAATATCCTGCAGGCCTCTCATTACCAGGCCTCTGCACACCACACGTCATACGCAGAAAGAACAGTGGCCAACCTGTGACTCATAAGCAAGAGAAGCAATGGGTCTCTGCCAGGAAAGAGGGAGCAGGGCTATGCTGGTATAGGAGCTGAAAGGTTATCCAAATCCCGATGTGAAGAAGCAGCAAACTAGCAGGTACTACATCAACCAAAGCCACCAGGCTGTCATGAGACCTAGTCATACCCTCAGACCCATCAAAGAAAAGAGGGGGAGAGGGTTCATCATCATCTCCAGCCTATGAACTACTCTTGGGCATCCTGTTGTCCTTGACTCTCCAAGATGTATGCTGCAGGTCTACTGCCTCTTAGCAGCAGCATGATTCCAAACTCTTCAAATAATATAAGTCTTTTCTGATCACAACCATCAGAGAACAATCATGGGTCTCCTCTTTAGTGCAGAGGAGGAAACACAAATTCTTGGAACCTGGGAATACCCAAGACATATCCTCCATGAATTTACCCACCATTAGTTACCAGTAATCACACAGAAATGAGGGGTGAATCTGGGGGGCAGATTATACCAGAAAATTTCTACAAGACAGTCCAATTAAAACCACATCAGAAATGCAATCCCCAGATGAGACATGCCATAGAGTAAGCATGCTATGAAAATCCACAAAAACCTAGCAGAGGAAGTGAGATCTCTACCATACCCTCAACTGTACCCCAAGTTCCAGCACAAACCTACGCGAAGTAAGTTTTTGCTAGGAGAACAGAGCAGAGACTACAAGCTAAGCATGTATAATACCTAGTCAGATGCTTAAACTGTCTTTACATCTGCAATACAAATGGAGGCCACAGTCTGCCTGATTATCCCTCATAAAGCTTTTCTGTGAACACTCACTGGGGAACTTCAGCAGTTTTGCTGCCAGCCCTGATGAGACCACCTCCTCTGCAGGCAGGCCATCTTCCAGGCAATTAGGGCTTGAATGACGACTCCTTTTTGTTAAAGGGGTTGATTTAAAATAATTTAAACTCCGAGAAAACTCTGAAACTCTTTCTTTAATCACCTTCAAAAAGATGAATTTTCTGACCCCTTCAATGTTTAAGGGTCTCTTCAGCACCTGCAGTTGACTACGTAAAGGAGAGAGAGCGCACAGAAGTAGACATGAGGGGCTGCCAGATACGCTATACGCAGACAGACAAGAGTACACAAAGAAGGAAAAGAACCCCACATATTTTCACTAATTTCTTTCAGTCCTGCTTACCAAATGATGATATGCAGTTCTAGCAGGTTGAACACAAGGTAAAGAATTTTTCACCTAGATGTTATCAAGGAATATAACTACTTAAAAGTTACTGCTCTGATTCCATATTTTAATTTGTTATTCTAGCAGCCACCACTTAGAACATTGAGAAAATGAGAGAGTAAATGCTTTTCCCATAGTATCTTGTCTGTTTGGTAGCCTTCTGTGCAGGTAGCTTTATCATTTTCCTGATGTAGTCAATCATCTGGTTACCCTTTTATGTTTCTTTCACATAGTACCAAGGTAGAAATATTTTATAATGCTGTTCTGTATTTCAGAAAACTATAAAAGATAGTTGAACATTTAACTAAGTATATACCAGGAACAATTTTTGAAAACTATTAGGTTTCAGATCAATGACATCTCTTTAAAGGTTCCATCTAAAAACGTGTATATCATTTTTACTCCTAGAGCAGGAGTTAATGAGCAAACTGAAATCTCAGAGAGCTACACTGGTAATGAAATCACAGACAGCTATTCCCCAGGAAATACTAGAAAATTCACATCCCAAAAATATGAAAGAACACATTCATGCAAAACACACCAATACTCCCATTAAAGACAGACAAAATCATGGTCAACTAATGACTTTTTCAGCCTAATTACATTTTCTTAAGCAACTCGAACCACAATTTAGCAACCAATGAAGTTCAGGACAAAAGAGAACCTACCAACAGTAGCATAGTGAAACTGAAAAACACACACACACACCACTGAAGCTAAAATTTTCCTTGCCAGACACCTGCCTTAGGATGGATTTAAAAACACACACACACACCCCACGCATCAACATAAACAGGTAACTTCCTTTGGGTGCTCAATTTGAGGACATCTAGAACAGCGTTTTCCAGAGAACCGGACACCAACTAAATGCTCTATAGGAAGCTACTGCAAAAAACAGAGGACAACTCTTATGTACTCACAGCCCTCTACCTTACTAATGAGATAATTACAGTACACAGGGATTCACAGCTCAGGGACAAGACTAGACAGGTCTCCATCTTTTGAGCTGAATGCTTAAATTAATAGGTTATCATCAACGTGGATAAGGAAAAGAGTTATATACTTTGCTCAGGGGACACAAGCTAAATAGGTACATCTTGGAAACGGACTTGAAGCTGGGTCTGTCCAAGAGTTAGGCATAATGCAGCGGCAACGAGCACTCTGGTCTTCCCAGTCTGTCCCTGCCAATAATCCTACCCATATCATTCCCATTAGTTTTTCTCATGGTCATATACTGAAACTAAACTGCATGCTCCCGCTCCATGCTACCAGGGCACAGACTGAACAGAGTCCACAGTTCAAGATGCAGACAACATTCACAGGAACGGGGAAACAGGGATTGTCTCAGTCATTTAACCTAGTCCCTGCCTTTGCCTATTCTATAGGTCTATTCATAATCCAAAACAAGCTCAATTTTAAAAATGGGTAGGTTTCCCCCCCTCACCTCAGTAATTCTACTGGGGAAGGTACATTGCAGAACTTTCCTTCTTTTTCTACCCATTAACTTAAGTTTATTAGAACTTTGCCAATTGCAGAAAAAAAATCAAAGATGGTTCATTAAAACATCAGGCCTCACACGAAGAAAAGTCAACACTATGTGCTTTTTGACATTCCATGTTTCTTTTCAAGGTGATGAATAACACGAAAAAATGGAATACACCGCAAAGTAGCACAGTTGAGAAAAATAAAGATGAATGAAGTTTCTTAAAGAGGAATAAAATAGAGACAGACTTCTCTTGGATATATTGGTTTTGATGTTTCAGTTCATTCTTTGGTCACATCTTCAACATCTCTTTGGGGATCTACGTTCTTTCAGACTGATAGCCAAGTCCGAGTCACAAATCTAGTCTTAAGTCCAAGATAACTCACAACTCTCTACTTTGGAGACTATAACTGTACACACACACGGAAATATGCAAGTTCTGCACAACAGTAACTCTTTCAAGAGAACGTTCCCAAAATGCTTCCAAGGAAATGCAGATCTCCTAGCGAGTTTCTCTCATGCTTGCAAAAAGTAACTGTAAGAACGTCACGTACATTCGTATATACCCATATATCAAAGACAGATGCAAGAGCAGCCACTGTCAAAGTTGTACTTCTTCCAGCAGTTTGCAAACACAACTGCTTTTTAAAGCTTCTGTAGCTACATGCTTGTAGCCCGATAAATGTTATAGTTTGTACTGCTAAAAATCGTATCGTAGGTCTTGTTAATAACCCAGAGGCCAGTGTGAATTAATAAAATAGAAGAGATTTTTCCCGTTACCTGCGTAGAACACCTACCTCATATTTTCTATAGTTGACGAGCAAGGCAAGAAGGACAACAGCATCATAGCCATGTTCCCTGCGACTAAGCGGGCTGGACAGAATCTGGAATTAAAAAAGAATCACATTGTTCTATTCAGGTCTGCTTCAGGAAGCTGGCAGTAGCTCTCAGACCACGCGTGACTGAAATGTATACATAAGAGCAAATCATGTGCCAAGTGAAAGACGATATTTAAGATTCTGGGAGTGTCAGTACTTTCAAGAAATTTTCAGTTTCCGCACAGAGAAACTTATTTATCAGAGGATGTACACAGGCTTTCCGGGTATAAAGGGCAAATACATTTCTTAACAGCACTGGACAGTGTCTTAGTGTACCGCCAAAATTCTTTGTGCGGTTTTGGTGAGTTTCCCCAAGCCCACTTCCACTTTTAAAAAGTGTTCAGAGAGCAGAAAACAGCTTCAGCATATCCAGACTGACTTTAGAAACAAGTTCCTCTGATATAGGACTCCTCTGTAAAATTAGCCCATGGACTATTCAGCTTCTGTCTGAGCACAAACGTCTTAACTGAAAATAATTTGAAGACTCAGTGACTGAAAATAGCAGACTGGGGAAGGCAGGGGGAGGGGGAAAGCCCACAACCCTATGCGTAAGCTATGGATGGAAGCGACACGCAGCACCAGCTAGCTATGTTACATTGAAAAAGTTAAAAAGTAAACACATGACTGAAAGCTCACACTACGGAGAAAGACCCCATCCACTAGAAGAAAAACTCTTACCTGTAAAATAGCTTCAAAGATACTGTTAATCATCACATACTCCAGGATGGTGTTCTGGCTAATGTTATCTGTCACCTGAGTGCAAACACAGGTTTTAAAATCTGATCTGAAGTCCCCCATGACGCTGTAGCTATCTCTGGCACACACTAGGAACCAAAAAGAGTTATACTACCAGATGGACACACTTATCCAGAATTTCACACTTAGTCAGCAAGTCAAGGGTGTGAACAGCACTAGAGCTAGACATGAAGTAAAGGAAATCTGCCCTGCTTCCCACATCTTTCCCTGGCAAAAAAGCATGACCCGCGTATAAAGAGCTTCCCACTTCCTCTGCAGGTTGATATTTCACACAGCCACCTGACAATACTATCAGCCACTGAAGCAGACTGCTACACTACAGGCAGAGAATGAAAGAGCAGGGCCCAGGTGCTCCACTGAGCACTTCCCTAGTTCAAAGAGGGCAGTGAAAGCCTCCCCCATGCTCTATTATCTCTTATTTTGGCCATGATAGTTGGCAGTGGACCATCTCCAGGAGATGCCGAGTGGTCATTTGTTCCTGCTTCTTCAGTCTTCACATCCTCACCACTCCTGTCTATTCCACACTTTGTCTTTCTTCAGCCTCTCTCCTCTGCTCTCTTCTTTCCATTTATGTGAGACTTCTTAAGTATCTCTTTCTTTAAGAAAGGTGGATCTAATTGATGCTTCCTCCTCTGCCTCTCTCGCTTTGCCTCAGCTGGCATCTATCTCATAATAAAGTCTCTGAGGCAGAAAAAGTCTGCCAGTAACATCAGGACCACGGTTAGAACACTGAGGCCATACTCTGGGCTGATCCTTGTTCTCATACATAGTTTCTCCCTCTTATGCTCCACACTGCAGCATTCTGCCTAAATTCGAGGCAGTTCCATCCCTTAAGATGTGGCCCATTTAAACATTTAAGTTATTATACAGCTAGTGTTTACTTACCGTCACCAAGCAGAGAAGTAGCTTCAGACACAAACTTTTGAGGCTCTCAGAACCTTCTGCACAGAGGAGTGAGTCCAAGCTTTCCATCAGATTCTACAGAACAATTATATCATTTAAAAGTAATATCTAAAGCTATACTGATATTCCTGTGTTTGAACTCTTCAAAAAAAGGCTTCTTATAACAAATATTTCAAATAAAGTCATATTGTTCCAGAATCAGTAATTAATCCATTACAACTGCTATATACCTCTGGCTATAGTCACGTCATCGGTTCTCAATACTGTTAACTACATTTTAATGACATATATTTGTTATTATTCAGAATAAATACAGTATAGCCATTTCATAAATATTCATTAATAATTATTTTCCAAATTACTTACTGAATGACAGATAACACATTTATTCTTAAAGGAAAAGTGTAGTTCTAATAGCCAAGTAAATACTTAATATTTTTTCCAAAATATAGTTGTTGTTCTCTTTGGAGAGAGATGAAAGCTAAAACAGAAACTCAGCTTTACCCCAGTTTCTTTGTCTTTCCCCAAAACTCAGTACCTGATGAGCCCCAAATAAGCTTACAACAGTATGTGCTGATGGAAATCAGAGCACAAAGGATATGACAATCAGCTAAAAATTAAATGCAAGCTATGAGGCTCAACAGTAGGGACTAATGGTCTGTGACAGCCTTTTCCTGCTGTAAAATTTCTTAACCAAAATGAATCTACACCACAAAAGGAAAGGAAGAGAAAGCAAGCACTCTGTTATACTAACACAGGAATCCAAACCATCTTTCTTTGTGCCACTAGCAGGTAAAGAACTTCAGGACAGCTACATTTAATAACTGGCTAGAGTATTTCCCCAAACAGACACATCTCGGTAGAGACAGCTACCCACAAATCACTGCTCCTGCAAGATGGCTGGTGTGCAGCAATGTTTCTTTACATTCCCAAGGCCTCACCTTCATACATAGCTCTGCCTTATCAAAACCCACAAGCATGTTGATTATGTCAAACCCAGAGGTGGATTTGTTCTTCTGATGGACACCACGAATCAATGCACACAAAGTCTGCAAAGGAGGGAGGGGGAAAAAAAAAAAAAAAAAAAATCAGAGTGTAAGATGTAAGGCCACACCTACAGCTTAATGGCAAAACCTGCCCTAAAATGTCTTCAGAGCACTAGCAAAATGCAGATACTTGAATGAATACCACCAGCTTAGAAGTCATACATTTGTCTGAACTCTTCCATCTCTGCTGTTTCTAAGGAGTATCTTGGGTGCCAAGGACTCAAAAAGATTAAAGAAAAATATATTTATCCATATTTTTCCGGTTTATTCACACCCCTTCACTTCACAGCATTTTGAAGAAAGGCAATCTCATGGCTTCTTCTGTACAGACCCAGTTTGTACTATTCACTTCAAACAGCATCAGGCAGGAGCACAACCTCTGGAAAATACCTAATTGTGGCTTTAAGGCCAAAAATATTGATCAGGAAACTGCAAGGCAAAAGCAGTGCCCAATATTAGCCATCTCTATGCGGACAGAGGTATGTCAGAGCTTTCCAGATTAATTTCTGATTCTAAGCATGCTAAAGACTCATCCACATGACATAACTTACTGCATTATGCCTGTCCACTAAGCAGACACTTTTCCTAGAGATAGCACACATTCTTTGTTTGGCTACCATCATGCTATACTAAGCCTGACCAAAGAACTGCGTTTCTGTCAAGAAACAAGACAAGTGACTCCAAGGCTATTAAGCAGCTTAAAAATCCCTGAAGTGGTTAGAAAAGTTAGGACCTTTACACTAAACCTAACCTCCTTCGTATTTCTTGCTGCATGTCCTGGATTATGGTTCACAGTGATTTCCTGGAGATCACTGGCAACACAGGTATCAGAGTACACAATGCTTCCAGCAGACATGCTGGAAAACTTATGGACAGCAGATGTCCCACGTGCCCCAAGAGAAGAAACGGCTGTGGTGACTTTTGTCATCAGGCACCTTTCAGGTCTATGAAGAGAAGAATGGGGAGGAACATAACGTCTGCAGTTTTAGATTCTAGTTTGAACGGATCTATGAAAAAAATTAGTTTCAGAAGATGTAAAGCCAGAGATGGGCAGAACGCAAAGAATGATCAGACCTCTAGAACCATATAAAAGCAAAAGGCCAAGGTAGGCATCCTTTTTTAGCTTACTGTCAGAGATAGGATATGGGGCTAAAGAAATCTTCAACTGGTATGACCATTCTCAGGACAAAAAAAAAAAAAAATCACATCAGTTTTGGCTTCAGGATCACCTTTCACAAGGAACAAAGCGTGATTAAGAGAACCCCCTCCCAACCCACACTCAGGACATGTGACCTAGTTTCTCTTTTACATTCACACAGCAGGATTCTGGACTGAAGCCCTGGCCCAATTTTTGCAGAGAGCCTGAATTCAAGCTTGGGAATTCATGGCTGGGCTGGGCTGGACTGTCTATGTAGCTATAACTACAATGTTTAATATTAAATAGCACCCTTTAAAAATAATTCAAAAAAAAAGAAAACAAGCAAGACTGCATGTCATCACAAGCATAAGTATTCCATTTCAATGACAGCTTTTTGCAGCTTGCTGCTGGTCTAACGTCTCCGACGGATGACTTCCCCAAACCTGAAATCCATATGCTGTATTCCCACAGCTAACAGAACCTGCAACGCATGTGTTCAAATTGCAAGAGTCGGTTTGGGAACTGGTAACATCAAGCGTCAAGATTGAAGAGAGCAGTCTCCTGCACAAGACACAGGACAGCATACCTTTGGCAAGGAACAACCTGCAGGAAAAGGGCTTCTAACTCTGGTGACAATTCTTCAAAACTTCCAATTAGAAAGTTGTACAGTAGGGAGAGCCTCTTGTATAACTTTCATACTAACTTCTCCAGAATTTTATTTCTTTTTTGAAAAGACAAAAAGACAGTTCAAAAAGAGGCTAAAGGGAGAAAATAAGAGAAAGTAGAAGGCATACAAAGCTTTATGAGTAATCTTGAGCCCTGAAACTGATAGCCTGTAGTGTGAACAAGCCCGTCTTATCCCGCCATTCCCATCCACCTCATCCTGTAACACTAGGTCTTCTTAAATTTTGAAAAAAGCTACCGTTTCTCAAAGACTTACTGTGTTTGTAACATTCATACAAAATAAGTAACAACTACTCAGCAGACACCACTTCTCATCACAGCTAAACAAATAAGCACAGATGTTTGATAGCATCAGCAAACATATTGCCTCATCAGAAGCAGAAGAGAGTATTCCCTGTCTCTCAAGTCTGGTACCTGTAGTGCATTGACCACTCTGATTGGGTGCTCCTCACCAAGAGCCTGGATGCAGTGCTGGAACAAGCAGTTGATGTTATCTTTTATCTTCATTAATTCTTCCCCATCCAGGGCCTCCAGCTTGCCTTCTAGATATTCCAAGTTGACCTATCAGGTTAAGAAGCAGTTCATGCACATTACACAACTGCTGACAGCTTAGAAAAGCAAGTCCTTGCGCTGACAGTCTGCCACTTCACAGGAAAAACAGCAGCAGCAAATCAGAGGATATGCAATTTTTATGTTACCTTCATGAGAAACAGCTCTTCCCAAAACCTGGGGTTGCATTTACTGGGGTCCTCTGTCTAAAAGAGAAAGGAATGGTCATGACAGAAAAAAACAGGAGAAACCATTCAGACAAAAGTTAAACAAAATCATTATCACAAACAGATCAGAATCAGGATCGCCTCACTGGATGACACAAGTGATCTTATAGTACAGAATATTATCTATACAGATTCCCAGAGGTAGAATAACAAACAGAAGCAGCTCTCAACTGGGATACCTCTGTGTACTTCCTGTATAGTTTTTCAAGAAACAGCTTCCCCCCCCTAATTTAAACAGTGTTAAAACAGCACTTTTCTTCCCCAGGACCCTTTTCTCCTCACACTTCATAGGTCTTCTGTCTCCCACCTCACCACTAACTTCAGAGTCAGACCTCCTTAAAATCAGAAACAGTTCTGGCAGACAACAGGACACAGTGAAATTAAGGAAGGGAGGGAAGTACAGACTTCAGCATGATAGTAGGAGAGCCTGAAGTAGGTACCTACACTGCGTGATACTTACCTTGGAAAAAGAATCCATCACGCACAGCCTTCAGCAAACACTCAAACAAGAAAGCTTAACACAACAACACTTGCGAAGCAAAAGGTGCTCAAGTCCTTACCATGAAAATCTCATCATACATCAGCACAACTTTCTCTTTCAATGGCTTCTTGGAGGCTGAAGATTTCCGGAGCAGCCCACCTTTCTTCTCGGTTTGGGCCATGCTGTATACCCTAAAGGTAAGAAGAAACAAACAAAAACCCATAAGAAAACCTAAAGTTTTCTTCAAGGCATATCTGGCATGTCACAACAATAAGATTTCTTCATTACGCTGAGATACTAATATGTCTGAAAAACTGGAAGTAGGGGCTTTAATAACTGTACCAGATAAGAAATGGGACCAGAGGTCCCATCTAGTCCTATATCCCATTTCAAAGAAAGATGCAGAAGTCGAACCACAGGCAGATATGGAATAAACTGCTTTCAGATAAATTGTCTTCTTAATTCTACTCTCCCAGAAACACTTCATAAGAGCAAGACAGTTTATGTAAAAAAAAATACATTTTTTTACATCTCGCTGTATGAACTGTGATATGTGTTATCAAATGGATACCCAGTTGTTTCTGATGCTGGTCAAGCCTCAGGGACATCTTGTGACAAAGAGCCCTAGAAGACTTTTTCAAACAGTTTCAATCTGTTTCATTTGCTGCCTACCAATGCACTTCAAATTCTGCCCTTGCACTCTGAGGCCATCTCCAACAGCAGGAAGTGTTCGGCTGCAAAGCTTCCCTAAAGCTCTACAAGCACCCTTGCTCATCCCTACCTCTGCACCTTGACATCCCTCAGCTGTGCCAGCTGAAATCAAGCCAGAGAAGTGCCACAGCTTCAAAAACAACATGTGTGGTTGAGTTTTGGGGGGAAGGTGGAGGAACACAGGGAAGGCTGCAGGAATTTTTAAAATCATATCAGTTCCCCAATCCATTTCACAACAAAGGAAGTTTTCTAGAAACACAAATAGGGTTACTATAAGTAATTGGTGCCTCACACTCACTGGTTATCCTATCAAAAAAAAAAAAAAAAACACTAAAAAGCATTGTTGTTGTAAATGAGCTGTTAATAAAACAAAAAGCAACAGTCATGGCTTTAGTCCTAAACAGTGCTACAGTCAAGCCATTGGCAGGCTGAGAGTCAGAATGTATAACTTTCAACATACTCTCAACCCAGTGCTGCAACGCACATCACCAGTCTGACCTTGTAAATAGGAATTTTTCTGCAATCACAGATTTCTTTGGCAAGCACCACAGCTTTAACAGCACTCTAACCTGCTCTATCACTGCAGCAGCGACATAGCTACCTAGCAGAAAGGGAATGTCATCCCTTCTTATATCTCTGGACCAGGCTCATATCCCTGAACACCCAGCCTTTCTCCCCTAACTCTGAAGGTAATTACATACATGGCAGCAGCACATCTCAGACAGGGGTCGGACTTAAGTCATGCTCCAGAAAAACAAGGGCAGGCACTTGTGGCAGCTGCACTCAGCCACGCTAAATTATGCATAGAGAGGTAAGTACACTGCAGTCTGCCTCTAAGACCCCAGAGCTTTCCGAGTCAGCAGCCATGGAGACAGCTTTGGATTTAGCCTTCCCTGCAGACTGCCTGAACCTCTTCCACAACCACAGCACATTCAGATCCAGCTTTCCCTCAAAGAGCCAAAGAGCAGGTTCCAGTGACTAGTGAATGTCAGTGCCACATCTCTCCCACACAGGCTCTGATTGCCTTAGACTACAACTGTGCATCCAGCTAGGATTCCCAGGCCTCCAGAGTCTGCCACAGGTTATTCAAAACATCCATCACCTGAGCCATAAATCTCAGTTTCAAATGGCTTTGGGGCTGGAGAATTGATGCTGCTGCAAAAGGCTCTATGCCTCCTGTGAAGGGCAAGAGCAGTCTGGATGGGAAGGCAACAGGTGGGATAGAAAATAGCAGATCTCACACCTGAATGCTGAGATTTATAGAAAGGGGAAGAGGTGTCCTCTTGCACAGCTGGGTGGTAAGGGACTACTTTGTGTCTGCTGGGTTGGAAATGGAAACAGTCCCCAGAAATGCTGTCAGAAGAAAGCTTAGGAACTACTGCATTGTAACCTTACATAAATAAGGAAAGTATTTCTGTAGCCTACTAGGTCTCTATTTTCAGTTAAGATGGTTCAGTCTAACATACAAAAAAGAATACGTTATTCGATCATCTTGATAGCTTCTCTTTTACAAACTTCACGTTATTTTTAAACTGTCATGGGAAATAAGACATTAATTAGAAATTTAATTGGAAATAGAGAGAAATCTATTAAAAACCAAATCAAGAACAATGTCACTTTTAGCCTAGCAATAAAAATTTTGCCCAAGATTGCACAAAACCATTTTGCAACTAGAATTGTAAGTTTCTGAACCTAAAGCAGTCCCCAGCCCCAGCGTACAAACATATCCGTCTGCGTGCTTCTAATTGGATTACTGCTAGTGAATCCCAATGCCAGAACTAATACACTAACTCACAGTGCTTCTAGGTCACTGTTCTCACATCAAGTTTGTAAATATGTACAGGAAGGGATCAATATACTCCGCATAGACCTTGAACTTCTGAGAGATTACAATACATTTTAATATTTTTAATGCACTTCTAGAAAGACAAAAAAGTCTAAATCCCCCCAAGAAATAAATGCCTGATGCTGAGCAAGCATCAGAGGGAGGCATGATCATATGAAAATTCTAGTCTCTGCTCAAAATGGGAATTGGACTCAGATTCTCTTAAGCCAAGCTGCACAGAGCATGTACAAAGATGATTGCTAGAGGCAACGATTAATGTTCTTGTTTATAATTTGCTGTTCTACAAATGAGCATATGGAGGAACAAGGGGAGAAGAGTAAAAGTCTCCTTTCATGCCAATGCTCTATTAGGCTGCACTGGTTTCACGACCTGTGATGATCAGGCCTGTACAAATGGCTTTTTCTTTTCACTTTATGCAATTACATTGTCCAGATGTCATGAAGACAGAAACAGGAAACGGCATTTTGCTAATAGGGATCTCCTAGGCAGTTGCAAAAAACAAGAGCTAAATGCATATCCTATTCACAGGAGTTGTAGATGTGTCAAGTTATCGGGCCTTTATGACATTTTATGAAAACAATGAGACTGACTATAGTTAACAATTATCTTTTAAATGCATCAGAGTTAAAAAGCTTCAGTGCATTTTCCACATTTCAGGTTCAAATGGATAATTTATTCTGTCAATAGGTCAGCTCCATTAACACATGCTGCTAAATGAATCCTGCCGCAGTCACTGACTGCATAGGAGAACTGTCCCTCAGGGTGAAGAGAAGAGCATGCATGTGAATTTTTAGAACAGTAAGTACTTTACTGTGCTGCGGAAGGGCCATGATGCTTCATCTGGGACTAAAAGAAACCTGGACAGAGCACAGCTCTTGGCAGCTCAAAGGCAGGAAGATAAAAACCATGGCAGGCAGAAGTTCAGGCAGAACACTTGCTTTATCTGTCATCAATCCCAGGATCAGCTGATCCAGTCAGGAGCAAAGGGATGAAGGTATCGAACCATCCACCTCTCCTCCATTTCATTCCAAGAGTCACAACAGCGGTTCAAACCAAACACGTGACATTCAGATGAAAACATCCCCATTAACTTCTGGTCATAATATCCACAGAAAGAACAAAAGAGGCATTTTGAAACCGAGGTTTACTGACACCATTATGCACATTCAGAACAGTGGCTTGTCCACACTGTCACTCAGCTCCCTTATAGACTTATTATTGGGTAGGCCTTGTTATAATGGTGAAAATATTATTGTAAAGAACATTAACACTAGATTCAAAATCTTAAACTTCTGTAATCTTGCATGCATGCAGCCTGTCAAGTTAAACATCATATTTTGCATGTAATTTCCCAGGCTAACAAACCTGAATGTTTTCAAGTTTACAGATGCATATACATAACCCTTATATACAGTGAAACATAAATACTCTTTTCAGCATAGACCCCTCCAAAACTATACTGCTATGCTACTTGGCTAAATAAAGAGAAAAGAAATAGATGGCATAGAATGGTATTTTCATATATTTACTTGACAAACCATTTATTCCACATCTGAAAAAGGTAGTGCAGATTACGTGATACACGTTAATCCGTCAATGCCATTAAACAAGTCCTGGACCTCAACCAATATCGATAAAGATTCTGAGTAAGAACCAGGATATTTGTGCTTTTAGAATCCAGCATCTCTTAACTCACCATTTGCCGACAGGTCTGGACTTGCTTGTTTAAACAATTTCAAGGCTAGCAAATATTTTCCAGCCACCAACTGCAGGTACCCAGGGACCTAGGGTGAGCATACTTTGCATTTCAAGTAACTTTGCAGTTTTCCACAGACAGGCCTCATATCTGCTGTTCTCCTGAAGATCTATATCTCTACCACCACCATCCCTTCTCCACACCTTTCAACTACAGTTGTTCCTTTGAAGATCTGGTCTGTACAACATACAAACTCAAATGTTATGATGTTATACTTGCAAACAGCTACATCGCATAAAACTCTATCAAAATGGAGTCACAAAGCCCACAACACTACCCAACAGACTAGTGGGAAATACTTGATTTTTAGGACTGACTTTTGACCAACAGTAAAGAGGCAAGGGGATTGAAAACCATTTTTCCCCTCAACTGGAGGAGGTAGAAAGGAGTTTCTTCCTGAGTCACAAGACAAAGGTTACAAGAGAGAAGCTAAAGAAGAAAGACAAAAACCTTTGAACAGAAAAGGACTGATCAAGCGCAAGCCTGTAGCCAGAAAGTATGATTCAGCTACAGAGTACAAGCTAGACTGAGAGATGCAGTGCTAAGAGAATTGTATCACAGGTTAGAGCAGAATAATCCTGGACTCCTTTGCAGGCTTGCAGCAGGAAGGAAAAGTACAGAACTGCTGTTTTGGTGGCAGAAATCATTTATGACAGCTTTAGAAATTCAAACTACAACCTCAAGGGCATTGTTTTCTACCAAGAAGGCTTCACCTTTATCCTTTAAGTTTAAAGGAAAGTTGTTCAAAAATTATCTAAATCATGCAAGAAGAAGCACACCTCCGCTTAAGGTTAACCTATGGCTTCTAACGTGCTGAATTGCAATCCAAATAGTCACACATCTCTTCAATGAGGTTCTAGGAAAAACTTGAACTTAATCCATGTGGTGAATGTGCAGAGTCAATACTGGACCTGTGCACTTCAACCAGCTTCCAGCACTCATTCATCACAGGAAGTGATGGACAATCTGCATCCTACCCTGCACGTGAGCTTAGGAATCTCAATGCATGGATGGTGCCTTGACTCAGTTCAAGCTCCAGTGTTAAAACTACCAGGGACCATCTAACAGCAACCTAGCAGAACAGCAGTGAAGACAGAGGGCAGGAGAGCAACGGGCTAGATTTTGTCAAGGCTTTAGAGAGCATCACGACCAAATTCCTACCCTTGCATTCATGCTACAAGTCCTTCAGCAGCTTATGGCCTGCCAAATCTTACCTTCCTGAGCTCTCGGCCCCTCCTGCTGACAACAGCGCTTTTAAACACAGTTCATTGCACTCGGTAGAGCAAGACCACCCTTGCTCTCTTCTAACACATCATTCACAAGTTTTCTTTCCTCACTAACTCTGTCTGCTACTTTCACACATCACATCCAAATCCGTGCACAACATTAAGATTGTAATAAGCCCTGATCTAGTTAGATATGTAATAGTTGAAACAGAGTTATGCTACTTTTAGATTTCACTCAATCTTTACAGCCTTACTTGTATACTGTCCGTTGGAATGAAAAATGCTCAGACTGTATCTTCCTGCACAACTGTAAGGTGCACAGCCCACCAACAAGCGGAATGTTAACACCGAGAGCATGCAAGCCTTGGGCCAACCTGGCAGAATTTCCAAGTGCCTTTATGTAGTATACAACAAATTCATTCAGAGGATGTACTGATGATAAAAACACCCTCATGCATCCTCCTTTTTCCACAATATTAAGCAACATCCCTAGCACAGTCTCAGTACATGCATTTTTACCAGCAAGTCCTTCCATCCTGTGCAGAGCAGTAGAAGTATATGTCCTTATACCTTGTACAGTCTAGTTACACCACCACTGACCTATTTTCCACCTTGAAAAACAGGAAAAGAAGCTTCCTAGCACAGATACAGCAACAAACTTCCTCCCATTACACCTGCTTTCACAATGATATAGAAGAAAAACATGCTGATTACATTTTCAACACTTCACCCTAATTGCCTTTCATTGCTGGTCATTTCTATCTGACCAGTTAAAATAACACTCAATCCATCAACTTCACACCATCAACTACTTAAGCTTCTTCCTGTCAAGTCCATCTAGACAAGTGTCACATGCTTCCACCCCCATCCGTTCAGATCATTTTTCCAGCTCAGTTTTTTTTTTTTATTTCATCACACCCTTTTTGCTTCCCCGGCTACACTGCCCAGCTCTCTCACGTCAGAAAGTCTCTTTGGTTTTTCAAATTTCAAGCTCTTCAGAACCAAAGCCACCTAATTTACCACAAAATATTCCACAGCTAAGTGCTTATGCCACTCAAACTTTTCAGATGCCTTCCTTATGAACAAAAACACTCTCCCTATAACCTTCCCCTCCTTCTCCTAGGGCTTCAGCTGGCTGTGTTCCAGGGATCCAAGGCCCAGGTTAGATACAGCACAGCTGCATGGCCTTGGCTCCGGCTTCTGAGGAAATTGCTAAGTTCTAAAAAATTCTGCAGAGTAGACCCTTGCAAGATAAGAAAGGTAAAACTGCAGAGAGGTAAGCTTTTTTTGAGACATGGATCATTAGCAGCACAGGCATTCAAGAAGGGTGGGGGGGGAAAGAGAGAAAAAAAGCACACATGGAAAGGTATAAAATCCTGAAGGAAAAAAACAAAGAGTCAGAAGACAGCAACTCAGCAACATTGAGCCACTCCAGTGAGCAGCAGAGTTTGACCCTCTCCCTCCTGAAGTATGCCTGCATGGCTACTTAGTGTTTTATTAGGGGCAGTGACCAGACTCGTGCTTAGTCTAGTAGATTGTTAAATCCTCACTGTATCTCCTGGGCATACTAGTCAACAACTGCTTCATATTATAAGTCGTATATATCATGCCTGCAAAGTCTCTTGGCACACATAAAAAGATGCCTAAAGTGACACAGAGGGAGGGTTATGCTGTAATTACTTGAAAGCCAAACTGCTGTCCTTTTTTCACTCCTGAAATCCCTCTTAAAAATCTTTTTGTCATACTCCCTACAAGAGCCGAAACAGCTGCTGTACTGTAAGCAAAGTATATTGGAATGGTCTGAATTATCTTACTGCTTTTTGTATTCCACCCACCTATCAACCTAAATCAGCTCTTATCATGTATTCAGATTATGAAGTCTCTTGGCAAGAGAAAGCTTGCTTATAGTGACACACACAACAGGGTTTTGATTCAGGCTGAGTTATATAGCAAGCTGCTTCTGCCTCTAACATAATAAGCATAATAAATTCCACTCCAGTGCCACTGTTTACTGCCCCATTTCGCCTACCCAACTGTTTGTAGGGCCACGATGTAAACTAGGTAACAGTGATCACCCACTGTTTTTCTAAAAAAAGATAACTTTAACCAAACCATTTCAGTAACCAGCTGCCACTGTGGCCTACTACCAGCTGTATCAGCAAAGCCAAAAGGTTAGGCAGCTACTGTCTGCTGTAAGGCCTTTCTAAACAAACCAGTATCTCACTGAACTGCATCCAAAGGCACTCAGGTAGTGCAGCCATAAAGCGATAACACATTATTCATAGCAGCAGCACTGCAGGCAGTCACAGAAAGGACTGACAACTCCTTTGGCAGTTCACTACTCTAGAACTACTACCGCACGAGGAAGAGTTTCAAGCAATCAGTGAGGCCCCGCTCAGGGTAGGACACGAGAGCCCCTGCCACAGCACACCCTGCCAGGGACACGGGCACACGAAAGACGCCATAGCAAGCGAGGACTGCGGGCCCCCCCCAGCAAGGCTGCCCCGCACCCCGAGCTGCGGCCCCCCAGCACCGCCTGCCCAAACGGCGGGGGGGGGGGCACACCCCCCGC